AAATATATCTTTCGCTTGCTTTGTTTCTGTATGTTTTAAGACCATCTCTCTCGGAAGGCCTTCCCTCCGCCCCTGTTTTTTTCTGCCTGCACAGCTGAAACAAAACCGGCGGTGGAGCCACCTTCTCTCACTGGAGCCTGGCTGGCAACAGCCTGCCCTGACCTGAGACACCAGCCATTGTTAAGGGTATAACACATTTACATATTTTGCAATAAAACATCAGTTATTTGCATTACTGTGTCAAGTTTTATTTGATTCTTTCACCTAAAAATGACTCATTTTCCTTTCTTGTATTTTAAAAACCAACTACTCTAAGCTTGTTTGAGAATAATCAAAAATTGCCCATTTAGCTAGAAGTCATTTTCTTTTCAAAAGGCAAATGTTATTTAATCTTTCAGCTGTTCATTGTGCCATCATAAATACTTTCTTTTCAGCACAGTTGTGGGGACTGAAATGAGCCCACTAATTGCCTCCCATTTCGACTGACATGTGGTGGTTTAGTGGAAAGAGAACACAGCGGGGAGAAGGAAATAGGAGGCTGAGAAAATGAGAGCTAATTATTTTCACTGCCTCATGTCAGGCTCTGTGTCAGCCTTGTTTTTACAAACTGGAAGGTTTAGCACTAAATAAAACAAACTGGCGTCATGTTTTTATATACTGGCAGTGTCATGGAAGCAGCTGCACATCTCAAAGACAATATAATGCCTGCATTCGCATGGACACCATCTGACAGCCACTGTGAGCCACTGCTAATGAGGATATCACAGTGGTGCCAAGTGAAAGGTGCTGAATTATGTATGATTCTTCATCAGTGCAGCAATAGTCCTGTACATCATTATGAGACATTGTTTTGCTGAAGAGATTAAAACATTCTTAGTTCCAGACCCTGCAACCTATACACGCTACAAGAGGTTATTAATGGAATTTTTAGGGAGAGTTTCTTGTGGATTTCTTTTTGGTTAAAAATATCTCATGGGACAAAGCCATGGTGGGTCATGACACTATATATATAAAGAAGAGAAGCAAATTAACCATAATTGTGTTATCTTCCTTTAAATCTAGAATAATAAAATATAGTGTAGCAGGGTGATACATAATGATAAATAACCCAAGTGCTGTCAGTAGATGTTCAACTGTAATGCCTTTAAAACAGCAGGTTTCAGCAGCTGAGATAGATAATAGCTAAGAATGTAAAGGAGCTTCTGAGGACCTAAATCATCAACATGCTACTACTTTTAGTACCAGCGTGACCAACATTTTTTTTCATATTTGTTTCATCTTGCATTACATCTTACTGTTCTTCTGATATCCAGCTGCCTGCTACAATGCTGTTTCCATTTTTTCTCCAAGCTTAAAAAAAAAAAAAAGTTTATTGCAGCCACTGATTTTAAAATTAATCTCGGATTTGGGCCTCCTTGGAAAATGATGTGTCTCCCCAGCAAGAGTTTTAACCTGTTGTTGCAGGAGACATGTATGTTGTTTAAAGTCTATGCCTGCTCTTTTTCATTTCGCTTTCGGGTTTTGTTGCAGACATGGGGGTTAGAGGAGTACTGTCACTACAGTAAGCTGGAGACTTAATTTTTAAAGTGTTCTTATTTTCTGTTTTGAAGCTGAGGCGAAGTGGCTCAAAATACACATGTGATTTACTTTTCTACAGTCATTTGCAGAGGTTGCTCTTTTGGCTTTGTCAAAGTGTAATTCGGAAATGTTTTTCACACAAAGTTTTGCTGGTTGTGCCTCTCAGTTCTGAAACTATAATTTTTAAAAAACCCCAAAATTTAAATCAAAATGGAGCAGGTAAATATTGGGAGGCATTTTAATGCTTGAATTACAAGATGTCCAGGGAAATCACTTTGAAGGACTTGTGTATTTATCATCCAGACATTCTGAACAAGACATTTCCAAATTATTTTCCCACATACATCTGGCACTAAATGTAGTCTCGATCCAAGAAATCTTACGGCTCCAGTTCATCAAATAATTGAAATACATATACTTGGTTATTCTAGCCAAATTCTTACTTAAGTGGCTGAGCAACTCTCTCCTATTCATTGCTAAATAAGAACCTAGAACTTGATTGGAAAACAGGGAATATGTCCCTTTCTGCAGCACACAAATCTCACATTATTTACTGTGTCGTTGAACAAAATGGTAACCAAGTTTGTAAGACAAGTAGCCACCTAATTATCTTAAATATTTCCCAAGTGCCTTGATTCAAAAGTCACCTGGCTGCTATCTTTTCTCCTTCCTTTCTATCTTTTCTCTTTTTCTCCCAGCCCCTCCTTCCCTTTCTTTGCTCCCTTCATTTCCCTCTCTTTCTCTCTCTCTCTTTCTGCTGGTGATTTTACATAACACAAAATGAAAACCTTTCCAAATAAAACAAGACACGTGTTTTTGAGTGACCAGAGAGGGTATCCTTAGTGCAGTAATTTGCTCTTTTGCTATTTGCGCAGTGTGACTGGAGAGGACTCCAAGGAAGAACGAAGGTTTGGGGGCTGGATTTGAAGGACGGGAGAGTGTATTTCTTTCTCTGAAGCTGCTGTTTGGAGCTGGGGAAGGCGGTGTTTGTGCAGGGCTCGTGCATCCACAGCTGCGTGGGGCAGCCTGATTCGTTACCGCACGGAGAGGGCTCCTGCATGCATGGTGGATCCAGCGAGGGGCCGGGCGCCGGCAAGTGCCCAGAGCCTGCCAGACTCTGGATTTAAGCAGCTTGTCAGCCCTTTCTTTAGAGAGCGTAGTTTGATTTATATTGTTTATTAAAATAAGCCCACGTTTGTCAGATCTGGTCTATAGGGAGATGTGAGTGAACAGCACAAAATCCTGAGTCATGAAGGCACAGGAGCCCTGGCATAAGGTGCAGCTCTGGCTCTTGGGTGCTTGGCACTGGTCTCACGACAGGAGATGCGCTGATTTAACTGGATGGCAGTATGTTATGTTATTGGTTTGTTCTTTCCTCGGCTCAGGTGTTTTTGTGAAATTTATAAATGCCATCAAGCAATTTGTCTCTAACCTGGGATTCAATCTGCAATAGGGAATCCAGATAGCATGAATTTAGGAAGTCCTGCAAAAAAGTCTGGCAACAAGGATGGTGTGGGCAGGGAGAGGAGCACAGTTTGAGAGGCAAGGAGGAGTCACAACTCACTTCACTGTTGCTGTTCAGTTACATAGTACATATGGTCCCCAGCCAACAACAGGGCCGGTGCGTCGTGCTGTGCCTACCTGGGAAGAGATGGGCATAACCCTGGGTTAGCTCATGACCCAAAAAAGCAGGACAGAAAAAGGACATGCAAAGAGATACAGTCCATGATTAGGAAACGGAGGCACAGGGTAACTTCGGTGCCTTATCGGGTTGTGCAGGAAGCCGATGGCAGAACTGGAAGCTAAACTCAGCACCTCCAGGTCTCGGTCCAGTGCCCTGACTGCTGGACCGCAGTTCCCATCGCTCAAAGTTGCACCGGGGTGATGCAAAAACCGACTCACACGTCCACTCTGCTCATAAAACACGGAAGCTTTCAATGGGGACAGATGGACATACAGGGCCAAATGCTTTATAAGCATAATTTATTGTTGCAGTTCAGAAATGATTATACTCCAGTTTTCTTTTATCTTGGAATTGCCAATTCAATGCCTGATTGAAAGCTTTGAGACTTCTGAGGGCTGAGCTCCTACGTTACATTTATGAGAGATGCACGTGCACACACTAGCAGATAATCGCATGTGCGAACGGATACTTTTTAGGCTGCCGTACGTTTGTGTGTGCAAATAACTGCTTACGCAAGCCCTCGGCCCTAAGCGGCCATCTGTGTCCCCATTGAAAGTTTTTGCATTTTCTGAGCAGGACTGAGGAGAAGACTGCCTCCTGCAAAGAGGGAGACCGCACCTGCCCAGCCGGTGGCATGCGCTGAATACAGACCCTCCTGGACCCCTAGCGTGTCTGGAGGAGCTCCTGTCTCTGTGAAGGGCAGATCCCCTCCTACCTGCACGGAGATGGAGACACTCTGCTTCACTGCAGCCCTGTTGTCCCTCAGGGGAGTGATTTTTGGAGGGGCTCAGTGCACTGGACAGTATCTAATCCCCAGAGCACCTGCTGGGCACACCAGCAAATGTTGACTGGTTTGCACCATGGACAGACAGTCTCCAGTCCCCAGTGGGAGCCTCCCTGGCCACAGGCACGAACCCTGGACCCAGCACTCATCCTACAGGATGCTGCCAGAGCCATCAGCTTCTGCAGGCTTACACCTATGCGAAGTATTGGATGTTGTCCCCACGTTCAGCTCATGGGATTATTTAACGATACCTTTAATTGCTTTCGTTTATTAGACTCACTATGATTATTTTCTAAGCTGAGCTTGCTTATAATTAATAATGCAATTGGAGGTGAGCGGAAGTTGGGCATGCTCAGTGCCTCGCTGGGCACTCAGTATCTGAAATAATTGAGCTGTAATAACCAGCTCATCCTCTTGCTCATTATTTGAGTGACTTTCTTAACGGTGTTTCACAGACCCTCTGGTCATTTGTTTCTGGGTTCACTGGGAGGATATCCTTGGGGCTGGCTGCCAGCACCGGCTGTGACCCCGAGTGATGGCTCCCACCACTGCCCTGTGCTTCCATTGCCATGCGGGTGTGCAGAGCTCCTGCACCACCTGCTCGAATGGGCTGTCCGTCCAGGTGGGTGAAGCCACTGTCCTCCTGGGCCCTTCAGGGGATCCACACCTCTGAAGACATCCAGACCTGTCAAATGTGGTGACTGTCTCTCAGGGTGAACTAAGAGGAGAGAGAACAAGAGAACCTGAGGGTTTTCCATTATCAACACTTTTACTGGAAAACGTGCATATGCTAAAATACGTATTCTGTTCCTTATCTTTCTTGTTGGGTTATTTCCCCCCCATATATTGAGGATTAGGTTTTGGGTTGTTCTGGCTTTCAGTTTTGTTTCATTTTGTTGAGTTTTTTTTTATTTGTATTCTAACAATTCAGCATTCTTTTTTTATTATTCATAGGATTGTAAATGGAAAATGTACATGGAGATGGACGGGGATGAAATTGCAATAACCTACATAAAAGATGTGACATTCAACACTAACCTACCTGATGTAGAGATTTTAAAGATGACAAAGGTATTTACAGCCTTAAAGCTTTCACAAATTCACAGATCTCAAACAAAGACATAAAAATACCACAGCAGTCGACTTTTGTGCTTGCGGAAGCTCAATCTCTTGACAGCTTTTAAATAAAATGCACATTTTAAACAGATTTGTATCATAATAGGAGTTAGGTATTTTGGTTCTCTTTTAAGCTGACAATAATGTTAACAATAGAAAAATAAGAGAAGGAACTAATTTGTATTTTCTTGTTTTAATTCCATGTTATATCCTCCGAATTTATTACCCCTTTTAAAGAAAAGAATGTTTGAAAAATTACTTTCCTTTTCAAGAGGAGAAAGTGATTTAAATGTTCCGGTTTGAAACTTCATGTGATTTGTCTGGGTTTTTTTTTTCTTTTTCTTTCTCTTTTTTTTTTTTTTTTTTTTTTTTTTTTTTTTTGTTTGACATGGTTTTAGAACTTTACATGGTTCTGAACCTCCTTCTTTCATGCAATGAAGGGTTGCAAAGACTGAAACAGAGAATACAGCACTGAACATCTGCAATTCAGTGTCACTGGGCATTTTACCTTATTTCAGAACCTGCCTGGAAACATTTACCAGCCAGCATTTAGACTGCTTTTACCATAAGAAACAGAAGCTTTGTTAATGCAGAGGGCATTCTGTTTGCTGTTATTTAATTGTTTGTTTTTATTAATATGCTTCACTTGATAATAGCTAACAAAATAAATTTCTAAATGAAAAAATATACAGCTTGATTACCAATTAGAATTCTGCTCTAATGTGCACTGATAAAAACCACCAAACTGCTGAATGCTTTTAACTGTGATTTTTTTAGGCAAAATTTTGAGGGAACCTTTGTTTATTTTTTCTAAAGGAAAAACTGAAAATCAGATTCTCAACAGTCAGAATTTTAAGGAAAATGTGAAAATATGAGTATTTGACAAAAAGGGTTCTCATGTTTAATTCACACTAATACTATTTTTATAGTTAGTAATTTCTAGAACAACACTTGTGATTTTTTAAATTATTATTATTTTGTTGCAAAATAGTTTTCTGTTCAATTTTCATCTTGGACATTTTAATTTTTTCCTTTAAGTAAAAGGCTTGAAGTTAAATAATCTAATAACTGGATAGAATAACATTAACTTTTCACATACTTCAACATTTTTATCTCTCTCAGGGAATATCTCTGAGAATCTCTAGATATTTGTTCTTGCTGGCCTCTGTAAGTCTAGCAGAAAAAAAACTGTATGTGCACAAAAATGAAAAAGGTTTATGCCCTCATGACAACATTCCATGTTGTCTTACCTACTGTCTGTTGTTTAGAGAAATCTCTTCTCAGATTCCTTTTGGAATAAAAAATTCCAAAAGATATTGCTTTGTCTCATAAGATTTTAAGCAAAGTATTTGTGTTAGCAATATGGAAACAGATGGAAAAAGGCAAATGTTGAAAATATCTTTGGGGTGTTTCAGAAACAGTAGGAGATTGAAAAAGAGCAGTGTATAAAACTCCCACCATGTTTTTTTCAGCCACCATTTGTAATGGAGAAATGGATTGTGGGGATAGAAGAACACCAGTCTGTAGAATGTGTTGTTACGTATGAGGTAAGCTCTAAGAAACAAATAAAAAAATTGTTTATCCAAGATAAAACCCACATAGGAGGTGTGGAAATAGCATCCTCTGGCTTTGTTATATCCTATAATCAAGTCTCAGCAGCCTGTAATTAATTGTAAAATCTAAAGTTCAAAGCAAAAGCTGAACGAGGTTTACAGAGACAATGTCCTCGAACTGCTGCCTGGGACAGCTCTTTTTCTCAAGGACGAAAACTCCTTTTGCTTGAAGTGTAATGGTCAGCATTGTTTGCATTACTTGAAGAGACTTTTTTACCTTTTCAATGAAGTGCTAATTAGGAGAACAGAGAAGCAACAGGAGAAGAAAACAAATGAGAAGTCAAGAGAAAAATAAGATAAAATAAAACTCGGAAGACAATTTAATGTGATAGAAATTAGTCTTTGTAAAAAGAGTTTGCAGTTACTTACAAAAGTGTTTTTATAAAGACCAATGCTGTGCATCACAAGGAGGCTCCTAATTGAGATTCCAGCTCTGTCCTGAGCAAGAATTGAAGCAGTGATGGAAAGACAGGGAAATCCTGGACCTTGCTTGCCTGTCTTGGAAGTGAAGAACAGTAGATTTTTCATCCTGAAGCTTCTCACAGGAGTCATAGGTCCCTAACAGCAGATTGAAGAACTTGATACTCCAGGGGAGTTTTGTGGAGGGTCCCCTGCAAAAATACCTCCTTAGTCCTACCTCTTTTAGCACAAAGCACTGCCCATTTGACACACACATTAATCTAACTAGTAAAATATATTTGTGTGTTTGTAGATCTTTCCTCCACATGGCACATGAATTGAAACAGTTATTCACTACCACATTTTTAGCATAATCACAAAATACCAGCCAAAATTATCTAGAGTCTAAAAATACTTGAGAACTGGCTAAGTGGTTTTGCAAAACAGATTCTATATTGAAAATGCTGCCGCCACCCAGGCACTAGTGGAAGTTCCCTCATAGGAGAGCTTGGTGGGTTGTGTGTTGTTTTGTCCTCATATGTGGTATGTCCTCATGTGTGTTGTGTCCTTCCTGAGCAGAGTGATGTTAGAGCTCCCAAAACCACCAGGCACATCCAAGCTATCTGCTGGAGCAAGGTGAAAGCACAGGACGAGGTTGAGACAGTACAGCTCATGATACAGACCTCGCTCCCGAACTCAGAGGGGAATTCACGGAGCAGATCTGACTCAAGTAAGTCAGTACACACAAACTTTATTGCTGACATGGGCAAGGCGTATATGGGGAGAACAGCAAAAAGTCAATACCACTATTCTGTTCCAACAACACAGCACATCTTGCAGCGTCAGCTGGCATTGTGGTCCCTGTGATGTCTTTGTAAATGCATGCAGGAGCACCCTGGCATGTCTGACTTAGCTTAAAGGCTAAACCTTGGGTAGTAACATGTTCTATATCACAATGTGATTTAAGGGGGATGACCTCTATGCTCCTATAGGAAGCATGCTGGAAGCAGTCTGTGGTGATTAGCTACAAACCTTTCGTCTACTGTAGTAATTTGTAGTTGCATATCAACAGCAGACATAGAGCTCAGATCCTTCTGCTCCAAAACCTCGAGTGCTTCACATCTTCCAGTATTAAGCATCCTTAAATCCTGACACTTTTTCAACCGCTTCCTTGGGTCAGCTTTGGGTCAACCTTTCAATCCCCTCTAGTGTAGAAGGTCATTGGGAGAGGCGTCTCTGCCTGTGATCCAGGCTTCTTCCCCTCTCTGTTGGCATATGTGGACATATTCGTGGTAGCTTTTAGTGATGTAGCACTTGTAGACATGGTTAGGTGGGCATGGTGGTATTAGGTTAATGGTTGGACTTGATGATCTTAGAGGTCTATTCCAACCTAATGATTCTATGGTTCTATGATGGCAGGCCTGCTCTTCTCCAAAGTCTGCTTGTGGACACTGGCTTGAAGGATCAGCTGGCAAATCTGCCCTTCTCCAAATCCACCTCTTCACCAAGACAAGAGAGTGCCCAGCTTTGTGGAGCCAACTATAGTAGCATAGCAAGAGGATTTGGACTGAATTATAGTGCCCACACAAAGTGTGCAGGGCCTGGGGTGAAGATGTGTTTCTCAACCAGGATGTCAGGAAAGCATCTGCTGGGAAAGAAGACAGTCTTACACATCTCTACCCTCCATCTCTTGGGAATAATGGAGTTTTCCACAGCTGTTTTGAGGATTTGGGGAGCCAGTGCTTTCAGTAGCTTTTATCCTGGCTTTCTCTCCCTGCAACCCCAACTCAGCAGGAGTGCTTCAGCCAGCCCTTTCCTCCTGCTCTTGGCCATCCAGCACACAGGCAGCTTTGCACAGATGTTGTGCTTGGATACAGGGCACCCACTGGAAGAGATGTGTGGATGAGATGCTCTCGCCAGCACTTTTGCAGGGGGACACACATACCAAGGCTGTAGCCTTGGAAGATGCATGTGGGGTGGCAAAAAGTCCCCTATGGGCGATACACTGTTTTCACAAGTACATGCTGCCAGCCTGGCAGAGCCCATAGGTGCTCCTGATGTCCCGCTCTGCCATGAGGAAGAGTGGAAGTCTTCCCACTGCACTCTTCTTCACAGCTGAGCCTGGCCATTTGAGCCAGCCCTGGCTCATCATTATCTGACTTCTGGAATAGTGTTTGTTGTGGCTTCTGGGGCTTGGCTTGTTCAGTGAGATACATTTAATAATACAGGGGGCTCTACACTGCAGTCTTCATTTCCTAACTAAAGTGTGCTGCTGACAGAGTCAAACTAAGTTTGGTTGACTCTAGCACAGTTCTGCCTTTAAGATCTGCAGTTCTTCTTGTAAAGGTGTTTGTTAGCCAAAGCTGTTCTGATTGAGTTCACAGTAGGGCTGCAGAAATGTTTGGGTAAGGGCAGCTGAGGGGCAGCACAGGAGCTGGAACAAGATACCAGTCAGCAAAGGGTGAACTTCTCAGATTTTGTACACTATTGCCAAATGCAGAAGAATGGCCTTGTGAATTGTGAGGTGCAGGGTTTAGACTACAGACACATCTAAAATGGGTGCTCTTACTCCTAAGTAATTGTGATCCATTTGTAACACAACTGTGTTTTGTAATGCAGATAGGACCTAGAGCATGTCCTAAAAGATACACCTTCACTACACATTAGCTCTGGTGATGGAGGTTACCCTGGTTTTGGGGTGATGAGCCATACAGCCATACCAAAGTGTGGTGTTGTATCTTCACAGGTTGGCTCTGCCACAGTAAGCCGAGCTCTTTTAATTTCTTTGTGGTGAGTGGTGGGAGAGCTTATCTGTCTGTCCTTTTGGCACATGGAGGAGTTACACGAAGACACTAATGTATTGTCAGCACCCACGTGAATAGACACAATTCAGAGGAGGTGGGTTACCAGTCAGCGTGAGAGCTGTGCCTTAGCTCTAGCAAACCTTCTGGCCTGTCTTCTTTACCAGACCGTCTACCCCAGGTTTAAACCACCACCAAATCCAAGCACAAAGGTAAGGGTAATACCTGTCTAAGAGGCTAAAATAACTGGCAGTGAAGGTACTACCTCTGTGGGCTGCCACATGGAGCATTTAATTCAGCGTACAGAGTTGGTGGCTCAGAGACTATATGAGGGAGAAGCCCTCCAGCCCACACGAGGTGAGAAGCATCCCCATAGGGCACACTAGGAGGTCCCTGCTGGGCAGCTGGTCCCTGGGCTGGTGGCTGCAGCTGGCTGTAAGGAGCAGGGACTGAACAGCCTGCAGTTGCTGAAGGGAGCCCCGTGTTCAGGACAGCATCAGCACTGGTGTCACAGGGCATGCGGTGGCCACCTGAGAGCTGATAACAAATGAAGACCCAAACTCAAGTCCTGAGCTTTCTGCTTCCACATTTATGAGGTCTGTGTTTTACATCCACAGCCTTGGTAGGAGGGCACAGGGGAATGGCAGAGGAGGTGGTGTCTAGCAAGTATATTTCAGCATGCATGTTTCTTTTGAAACTGTGAATTTCAAGGAGGTTAAGAAGTAGAGAAGGCAATTCCCATCTGTCTTTCTGTGAAAGGAGGTTCATCTCTCAGTGCAGCCAGAGCTATCTGCTGTGGCGGTGTCGCACTTTGACAGGAAAGACAGTTTTCTTTTGACATATTTGACATTAAATTGAAGTGATTTAAATCCTTTGGGATTCAAGCAAAGTCTGGGGAAAGGAGCAATGGAAGAGACCATCCATTACATCTTAACAGGAGCAATCCTAACAAGAACAGAGCCACTACCCAGCTCCCACAAAACTCCCCGTGGCTGATACAGCATTGCAGCGAGAGGCAGAGGGCCCACTGCATAGGGAGTCTTTCCCTGGAAAACCAGCAAAAGGGGAGAGAGGATCTGCGGTCCTCTGTTTCTGTTTAAGATAATAACATTTCAGTCATGCTTATGCTGCTTCAAGCTGGCAGGGTTATGCTTTCCTGTTGGAATTATGTTAGCAATCTTTAAGGATAAATCATTCGAATCTCTCTAAAGCAAAATTATTTAAGCTGCTCCCCATGGATTTTTGTCTAGAGCTTTGGCCTCGGATAAGAGGAGTTCTTGGTCTGTACTCTACCCATAAAGCAGCAAACCAGGCAGCCCTCACAGTTCAAATGGAAAATTTACAACTATTGTATTTGCTATAGGCTTTCATGCAAACCACAGGACTGACTTTCAGAAGTGCTTCAGTCTGATTTCTGGGAGCTACAACTTTTGTTACGACCCTGGGGCTGTGACAGTAGGTGTAATACCCTGAGTTGCTCACAGTTAAGCACTGTCTGAGCTATCCTGGACAAAGCCTGGTGCCTCACTGGCTTTTCCACATACGGAGTTGATCTTCTGTGTGAAGCTGGACCAAGTGCTGTAGCTGGGGCTTAGACTGAGTATCTGGAGCATGCAAAGTGGATTGACTTCTGAATTTGTAGTAATAATAACAACTGAAGTGGCTCTAGTTGTGGTGTGTAGCAGTTTAAAGAGAAAATGGAGTGAGAGGAGGTGAGCCTGGCTGCCGCAGCAGGGATTTGCACTGGGGTCTGCACCACCTCTGTCTCTGTGCTTGGCTGTGAATGGCATGACCATGCTGGCTGAGGCGCAGGTGGAGGGCGATGCTGCAGTGATGCTGGCACCTTGGGGTGCCTGCTCCATGCCTGCTCTGGAGGTCTTCAGGCTCTTTTGCAATGAAAGCCGTGGAGAAATCTGCCAAGGCCACCAAGAGCATCACAGGAAATGTCTGGTGTTAACCAGATTGGGTTAAAAACACGGGGAGGCACTTGTGAGTGGGAACCCACCTGAACAGCCAAATGGGTGGTTCAGTAAGTGTCTTCTAGTCTAAGCTCCAAAGCCTGCACTGGCATCAGAAATATTTGCATCGCTTGCTATTTTAGAAGTCCAACATTGTGTTCAACCACAACACTGAACATACTCAAACCTAGGACTATTTGCTGCAAGGCTGGGAGGGAAAGGGTGGTTTGGGATATGGTGAGTTTCCTCTGAGAGAAACCTTGGTACCAACCTCACACCTTCAGTAAACCAGAGAGTGGTTTTCCATCAGTTCACAGAAAGCTGACTCTGTTTCCATTTCCCTGCCAGGTGTTGACAGCCAGTGGATGCAGACACTGCGGATGCATCAAATTGCGAAAGCCATTTCTCTCCAGCACGGCCACCCCCACAGCCCAACCACGGTCACCCACTACCTGCCCTACCTTCACAGCCAGGGCTCCTATGCCGCTGCCGTGAGGAGGACGCGCGGTCCCGTCAGTTACCAGTTCACATCCATCAGCCACTCCAGAAACTCCTCTCCCCTCTCGCACGGTTTGGTGAGAAACCTCTCGAATCTGCACCTGAACTCGAAAGGCAGCAGCACCTCCAGCACGGCCTCCGACACCCCTTCGGAGAGGGACAGGTCTGCTGGCAAAGGCAGAAATGCCTCGCACAGCGCTAACTCCCGCAGCTCCTCGGATGGGCAGCGCAGCGGGACCAGTTCCCCAGTGCCCCCCCGGCACTCAGGAAGAGCCTGCAGAACTTCCCCACCAGTGGCCCCCCCTGCCTCCCAGCACCGCACGTACCCCCGCCGCCTTCCCCAGCTCACGGCCATCCCGGGCATGCCCCCGCAGGGTGAGAGTGAGCCCAGGAGGGGTGAAGGGGAGAGCAGAGTCAGCGAGGGGGGGTGGATAAGGGTGCAGCATGTGAAGAAGCCCCACAGGCAGACCGCAGGCAAGCCAGGAAAGGAAAGGCCCAGGGGGAGCTGGCGAGGCCGGAGGACGTTCTGATGGAGGAACTTGCCCGTTTATTTAAGTGAATGTTCAACCTTGAGAAGATACACTTGCTCCTATTTAATTTGCCACACTGAAGCCAGGACGCCATCTCCCTTGCTGGCCAGCGTGGCCCAGGGCCTGACAGTGGAAGGGGAGCACTGCCCACCTCTCCTGTCACGGGCAGCGCCGAGGGATTTAATTTGATTTTCTCCCCTCCGTTTTGCTGCTGTTCTCAGCTGACTGGATATCCACTGATTTGCTTAATATTTCAACAATAAAATCAGTAAGGCACA